TCACTCATCTCATCTTCAAATTCTCTGGCATGAATTTGAGCCAAGACTTCATCTACTGTTAGAGGCGATAAGTCACGTTTCTACTTCTTTTCTTCTAATTTCTTTACGAAATGATGCGATCGTTTCATCTTGATTGCAAAATGTAAATGGACTAAATTTGAAACGTCATAAACACCTTCATATCCATATGAGACAAGTATATATATATATATATATATATATATATATATATATATATATATATATATATATATATATATATATATATATATATATATATATATATATATATATATATATATATATATATATATAATTGGATTGTACTTTCCAAGTATTCATTTCACTCTCTAGCCGACCGACCAGCAAATTGAAAATGCCAACACAGATCGAACGTCTGATCACAGCTTTGCAAGATGTCACACGATCGTTTTCTTTAGACAAGACGATCGACTACTTCCCTCTTTTCGAGATAAAAGTCAAGATACTTGCTATATCTTCCAGAAGAAACTGCATCGGACTAAAGAATGTCCAGACCTTCAGAAAGTAACACAAATATCAAAAGACACAATAGTAAGGATGCCTGTTATCATTGCCAAGGGAAAGGACACTGGTCTTCCGATTGAAATAAGAAACAACAACAACAGGAGCAGGAGGAAGAATAAGATTTAACCTAAGTAGAGGTAGAACCCCGACACGAGAAGAAAGAGAAGAAAAGAAAGCGAGAAAAAATGAGGAAGAAGAGGAGGAAAAACCTGTGGAAGTGGAGAAATTCTGAAAAAACAGAGTAAACAAAAGAACACAGAAGAAGTATATGAACTTTTTCATAGTGTTGTGTTGTGACATTAGATTGTAAAATTTGTACCAGAATAGACCAGACTGAAAAAGGTAAGTGTCTCTTTGTTTTAAGTTTTAGTATAAGGACTTACACTCACGCACTCATCCACGTTTATCATGGGGATAAAATGATTTTTATTATGACAAAATGAATAGTATCTCTAACAAACTCAAGTGCGAGAAGCAATCAGTTTTAATTGTCTTAAGTCTTTTCCACGGCCAAGACCTACATCTGGACCTGCTCCCGTAGATGATTGAAAAGAAATCACTAGGGCTGGTATCTTAGCGTAGTAACAGGGTTAGATTGTTTGGCTCGGAAGTTCTTTTTCTCTTGGGTAGTAATAATGAGATCTGAGACATTCGTTTCAGGCCTCTTAACTCTACCAAAATGTCACTTTGACATTCTCTGTTCTCCTTCTATCCTAAGTCTTGTTTCTGCTTCTTCTTCTTCTTCTTGTCGTTACTTTCTTGCCTATTCTTCTTCTAGCTCTTGCTTTTCAAAGAGAAAATCTTGTTTGCTTCTTTCTGTTGTTGCAAAAATTTCTCCATGTCTTCTTTCTCCCTCAGTTTAAAATCATCGACATGTTGTAAAGAAGGAGAAGTTGGCGAAGGTACTGGTACCGGAACAAATTCGTGCGAAGAAGAGAGAAAATTCGTTAAATCCCAATTAAAATCGACATCTTCTGGACATTTACCTGTGTTGATTTTGGTGGCCTCTGCTATACCATTTGCTTCTCGTCTCCATGCCTGGTGCACCCCAATTCATTGTCTTAGTTTAAGTCATGTTTCAGAAACAATGTTGCATTCATTCACTGCGCAGACATTAACGCACCTATATAAGGAACGTGACGTCAATGGTACCTGTCTTCGAATTAGAAGACAGACTCCGCGTCGTTGCTGAATTTTGTAACGCGTGTTTGGATTGGTAAAAGAACTCAATCCGTTTCGATCCGTTCATCAACTATAAGTTACCACGGTTCACTTTATACCCTTCATCTGTCTTCTTCACAAAATATGTCCAAACTCTGAATCCTCAACTCTGGCATCGTCCATGCTGTTCCGTACAGTATTACCCACGTATGTCAAATCATCACGGACACTCATCCAGCTCACTGATATAAATGTTTGGAAAAGAAGGATCTCTCTGGAGAGACAAGGCTAAGAAAAGAGTCATCATCTACGGTTAGACGAAGTCTAAGGAAGAGAAAAAGATCAGTAAGATGCCCTCTATGTCAACGGAATTGAATTAACATAAAAAGCAAATACCTTTGCAGGGCCACTTTTATGCCACAAGAATATATACTATTTCTTGCCCAAAACTACTTTTTGTCTGTTATATAATTTAGGTATGATATATTGATGTTGATCTATGGTTGTGTTGTATACGTCTATGCCACTAACCATGTTTATATGTCTGGTCGCTATTGTATTTGTCTTTATGTAGGGAGCCGAGTGTATTCAGGTCAATCACTTGCCACACTGTTGCCAGTGGAGTGACGTCATCTCACCTGTTCCATTCCTATCTAGTGCCCCAGATAGTCCCACAATGATAAAATCCCATTTACTGTCCCAGTGTTCAACTCCCTGTTTTTCCCTATATACTCTCATTTGCCCCAGGGTATCCTACTACACTACTTATTCCTATCGAAATGCAAAGTTAAGGACCACATATTTGCTTGTCGAAATAAAAAGGAAATAATATTTTAATTAACCTGTTAAGTTAGCTTTAAATTAGAAGTAAAACAAAACAAAAACAGGAACTAGATTGTGCCTCAAGTTTAGAAATGTTCGTGATTACGTGAGTGTCACATAAAGAACAAAACCTCCCCTTGAGTCAATTGGTTTTACTGGGGTTTTCCCTGGTTCTTCCTCCACCAGTTATACGAGACGCCATGCATAGTCTATCATATTCTGAGAAAAGGGTTCAAACCCCAAACAAAAACATCAGCATACTTTGATTCCAAAGACTGTCTCAGTGACAGCTGATAGTTGGTAGAAGAATCTGTTGGAAAGACAGCTGGCCTGTTTTAATGAGTTCAAATGAGATGTCCGAAATACAAATGGAAATTAAATGATTCTTTAAAAGATTTGGCGCTATAGTAAGTTAACATTATTATTATTATTATTATTATTATTATTATTATTATTATTATTATTATTATTATTATTATTATTATTATTATTATTATTACTGTAATAATAATGTGAACTTACTACAGAGCCCAATCATTTAAAGCTCTGTGCGTTTTACAATATTAGATAACATATAAAACCATATACAACGACAAGATTACGAAAACAAACATATACAAACCAAACCAAAGATTTCAGGTTTGCTTGGATGTTATGCATTAGCTGGGTTATATTTATCTGACGAAGCTTTTTCTGTAGAAAACAGATGCAGATGGTGAGTTAGCGACTGATACGGTGAGATGGCATACGACGCAGAAATGATCTAATGATGAAAACCGTTAAAGACATTAGAATATAATCATCTGCTTAATGAGGAATCCAGGCTAAGATGTGACGATGTGTATGGGTGGGTTGACTGACTAACTGAGTTTTTGAAAATGTGAATAAAATCTAGTTTTGATGTATATGGATTTCCAGAAAAAGTCAAAGTGAAAATAGAAATGTCCATGAATATTCCGATTCGATTGCCACCTTTCGAATTTTCATACATCAGGAGGTTAGGAAATTGCTCAAAATGAGAGTTTTGGGTTGGTGGATTAGCTTTTAGTTTTAACAATCTAAGTCATATCGCTAAAATGTCTGCAACAAGGCAGACATGTGGGATCATGTCCCACACAGTCACATGATCCTGACATCAGGCCTACCAGTCTCAACATTAACCGCTTAATGCTGAGCATCAAGAGAGGCAGCTGCTAGTACCATTTTCATAAATCTTTGGTACGTTTGGATTTGGAACCCACGACCTTGCATTCAAGATGGACGCTCCAACCACTTAGACCAATGGAGTGGTCTCCAAAATGAGAGATTCGGTCAGCTTGTTTATTCAACTAGTAGAAGCAGAGAAAAATGGGCTGACCTTTATTCTATTTTGAGTAAGGTTCCACCAGTTTAAACTATATGTTACAATTGAAAGTTGTAGTTAAGACGATAAGAAGATATGAGTTGAAAATTTGATCACCAAATGCAGTGAAAGCTTTCTTGTCTGCGTATTTTTGTCGCTCTGTCCCAGCTATTGCAATGTGACGTCATACGTAACACCTATTGTGCTAAAGAGTGTTAGTAATCACAAATGCAAAATATTTAATCTAGATAGGAGTAAATTTCAATCTAAAGTTAACTTAGTCGTTTTTCTATTATTGTTTCTTGTAAAAGCGACAAATTGTATTTTGTAAATAAAGCATTAAAGTGATAAACAGTTCAAACCTTTAATCTTTCTAAATATCAGTCAATATCTAATGTCTTTCGATAAGCTAGAAAAATTATATTTACATGGATATATCATTGCTGAATTCTTTTACATCTTAGAATGGATTTTGAAAGTACATTCTTTCAATATTCTAGACATGTATCAGGCACATCGAAACAATTGCCATAAAAGAAACATTCTTTTTACAAATAAATAAAAATTATAAAAATTTGCAATTTTCACCCTCGTAATTTGTTTTAAAAGAATGTTACTGCCGAGAAAGAGAAACACGATTTAGAATAAGAGATATATTAATTACAAATCACAGACAATATGCTGGGTTAAGGGTTTTCCATACGTTTGGGAAAATGTAAAAGTCTCTATGTTAGATAAATCCACTGAAATGAGATCACTTGAGTGTGGTTAAGCCAGATAGGATGCATAAAAAATGTTACACTATGAACACTTTTTACCGTGATTACACAAATAAATAGCAGCTATGAGCGTCCTCTGTTGTTAATCATAATACTTTCAATAATTTGCTTTAGGCCAAGGATAGTGGAGAATGGGATGTAAAAATGTTATTAAAAATTTTGACGTAGCTTTAAAAAAATTTCAGTCATATCGCTACGATGTCTGCAGTGTGTCAGTTTATAGTGATGTCTAGCACTGGGGCATCATGCCGTAGACATGTAGCATGATGTCCCACCTAATCACATCATCCTGACATCAGGCCGACCAGTCCTAACACAAACCTCTTCATGCTGAGCTGTAAGTCATTGGTATGTTTCGACCGGGTATCGAACCCACGACCTCCCGTATCCGAGTCGGACGTCCCAACTACTAGGCCACGAGAGATGTACGTGGAGAATGGGAAATAGAACTGTAACTGATTTTATTCCTAGCAGAACTATATAAATTTACAACAGTGCCTAGTGGTTGAAATTTTTTTTAAAAATTATTTTGCGTACACAAGTCATGTTTCTTAAGTTTTGTAAATGCATCATAGTGTCAAATTTTATTATGTTTTTTCATCTTAAAAAATAAAAAAGTGGGAAAAGAAGTATTTTGTTATTAAAAGACAGGTGTGCAGTATTGTAAAATTTTAGGTCTCCAAGCAGTACCAGATGAAGAAAAAATTGTGAAAAGTATAAACCAATTAGTTTTCATTATGTGGCAGGTGTACTAATATGAAATTTCATTACTTCCTAGAAATATGGACACCTTATCAAATTCAGTTTTACACAAAGGATAATAATCTCGATTTTATCCCCTTCATTTATATTTTGAAATACGTGACTAGAACGCCATGATATTATAAATGCGCATTAGAATATAAAAATAATTAAAACCATTCAGTATATGTGTGAGAAGGATAGACTGCTAAACGAGTGATTGCTATTCCTAATTTACGGCATGACCTTGCAAAGGGCAAAATGCTACAACCAGTTGAACCAAACTGCACATGTTTAATTTTGGTGCAATGGTAACAGAAGTGCAGTAATTGATTACATAACGGTGCATGTGCATACGAAAAACTTCTACACAGACACAAAAAACGAGCACAGCAAAACCGATCCAGAGATCATAGCTGTCTGCTTCTCTCTCGCTGCAGACAACATGGTATGCTGAGCTCCAAGTTTTAATTTAATTTTTTTAAATGGTATTTGACTCTAAACTAACACACAGTTTAGTTCCATGGCTTGTCTAAGTCTCAAACAATAGAACGTTTTAACAAGGTGGTGGGTTTATATTCCGTCAACGGCTACGTATCTGATGCACAGATATCATTTTTGTATGATAAATTCCATTCTAGTTCATACATGTACTCGAAATGGAATGCGTTAAAGAAGTAAGACACTCCATTGCTTCTCTTACTTAGCTCGGTAGTTTGGACAATATATTTTCTAAAGAATAAATAAAGATTTATGCGAAAGTTCTCTTTGATACGAATTATAATGCTTAAAAAGACAAGAAAAAACGATACCAGGCCATGGTAGTTTGTATTCATTCTTAACCACGCCTTACTAGAACTATGGAAATCTTTATCATCCACTGGTCATAAGAAAATTTGAAATATAATATCGAAGTTTAATTATAGTTTTAGGCGGAAGTTACCACTTCCTTTCACGTGTACGCGCGTGTGTGTGTTTGCGTGTGTGTGTGTGTGTGCGCGTGTGTGTGTTTGTGTGTGTGTGTGCTTGTGTGAGAGAGTTCTTTCATTGGAATTGTTCACTGAAAATTGATTCCTAAAATAATTAGAAAATAAGCATAAAACCGGTCATATATTAAAATCGTCAAGTTAAGAAACATAATACATCATTATACGAATCGCTTCGCAATATGATTCTTTAAAATTATCAGTTTAGCTAATTTAATTTCTGGATAGCATGAACCGGTTTAAATGTTTTAATGTAACCATTTATTTTCATTTTCTGTATAAAAAAAGCATAACATTTTACAGTTTTAATTAATCCAATAATATCCGAAACAGATTTAGATGTTGCTATCTCTCGGTCATTGTTTCTTTTGTGACCAGCTCCAATTTTGAATTAATTTTAACTTGGTAAAAGATGAATCAAATGTCAATGCTGATTTATTTCGTTTCATTATTAATGAATGGCACTGATCTGGACAGATCCCTTTTCCAGATCAATGCTTAAAAAAAACTAATAATAATAATAATAATAATAATAATAATAATAATAATAATAATAATAATAATAATAATAATAATAATAATAATAATAATAATAATAATAGTGATAATAATGGTAATAATGATTACACATTCTTCGATTATTAGGAATTGGTAAAGATAATGATTTTCACTCTGTGAATAACTGAAATATTATATTTGCAAGAAGAAGAAGAAGAAGAAGAAGAAGAAGAAGAAGAAGAAGAAGAAGAAGAAGAAGAAGAAGAAGAAGAAGAAGAAGAAGAAGAAGAAGAAGAAGAAGAAGAAGAGGTAAACTGTTTCCATCATTTTTCCAGAGTAATAAAATCAGTGCAAATATTGTTTTTCTCTGTGACGACGCCTTTTTTTTATTACATGTATAGCTCTACTGTCACTGAAAATAAGTCACCAAAAACATAATACACATGAAGACATCTGCTCAAAATGTTGCCTTTTTAACTCTGTCAATTAAGATCTGGATGCTGGATGTATTGTGTATTTTTACGAGGATATTCATGAACACGTGGAGCAACAATTTGATGTATGTATGTATGTATGTATGTATGTATGTATGTATGTATGTATGTATGTATGTATGTATGTATGTATGTATGTATGTATGTATGTATGTATGTATGTATGTATGTATGTATGTATGTATGTATGTATGTATGTATGTATGTATGTATGTATGTATGTATGTATGTATGTATGTATGTATGTACATGCATTAAATAGTACCAATGTTAGTAAATTATATATTATGTATATTATTAGTATTTAGTGTATGAACACTACATTGGTACATTTTATTACATGCTACTAACATTGATTTGCCTTGCAGTCTTGAATCTTGTTTTCAGCAATCCGTTTACAAGTAATTATATTAATAAGCATTGTTATTGGCCTAGCTATCTTTTCTACATTTTGGAAACGTATTTCTTAAAATGCATTTTTGTATTTGCATCACGTATCTGTGAGAAATTCGTTAATGTCTCTTTTATATTGTTTGATATGTATAATTTCTCATCTTTTACTTGCTTGTTAATTTATTTGCTTATAATTTTAGTTGCTTTTCATTTGACTTATTATTATTTTAATTGATAACAACTCTGTTACATGATATTCTGTCTGATTGGTTAAAAGCAAGTTCAGTTTTGCAGTCATTTATCGTAGTGTTGTTGGTTCCATTTTCATACTTTTCTTTTGGTACACTGCCAATTTTTCTTTTTCAGACATTAATAATGTTCTAATGCTATTTCCATTTCAGGCATTAAAAATGTTATGTTATTCTATTTCAGACATTAATAATGTTATCATGTTATTTCCATTTCAGACATTAATAATGATATGTTATTCTATTTCAGACATTAATAATGTTATCATGTTATTTCCATTTCAGACATTAAAAATGATATGTTATTCTATTTCAGGCATTAATAATGCTATCGTGTTATTTCCATTTCAGGCATTAATAAGGATATCATATTATTTCTATTTCTGGCATTAATAATGTTATCATGTCATTTCCATATCAGGCATTAATAATGTTATGATGTTGTTTTTATTTCTAGCATTAATAATGTTTGGAGAGTTTATATTGTTCACGTCTCAGTTTAATATCACTTTTTAAATCAATAGTTAAATTAACTCTTTGACTTGTTTTAACACTGGTCTAGTTTACTCTGTTTTAGTCTTCGCTATCCTATTTCTGTTTATAATATGACTTAATAAATATTCTGCTTCCCCACAATGCTCTGAATTGTCTATTACCTTCCTAGCATTGGATACTTTTATAACAGTGCTAATAAAGCGAGTTTGCTTTAAAGTCTGATTTTTGGTCGTTAGCTTTTTGCAGCGTTATGAAGTTTGTAAATACAGATTGGTAACTTACAAATGAAACAGTGTTTAATGTGTCACTTTTAACTATTGGATTATGACGCTGTTATCGGATTATGACGCTATTTCAAAAGTATTTAAATTTGTGGTTTCAATAATTATAACTACAGTTTGCAGAAGTGCCAAAATCACATACATTCTAACACCTCACATTATAAATTTACATATCTTTTTTCTGCACATTTTCGAAGTAGAATATATATATATATATATATATATATATATATATATATATATATATATATATATATATATATATATATATATATATATATACATATATATATACATATATATATATATATATATATATATATATATATATATATATATATATATATATATATATATATATATATACATATATATATATATATATATATATATATATATATATATATATATCAAAAGGTGATCGTAATTTCCTGACCAGGAATCTTCCCATAACCTTAAACTTAAAACATTGTTTGATCATTTTTAAGATACGACTAATTTAGAGAGAATTAAGACTAGTTTAGGGAGGTTGAAGACTAATTCAGGAAAGTTGAAGACTGGTTTAAAGAGGTTGACGACTAATTTATAGAAGTTGAAGACTTGTTTAGGACGGCTGAAGATTAATGTAAGGATGTTGAAGACGTTTAAAAAGGCTGAAGACTAGTTTAAGGAGACTGAAGAGGGTTTAACGATGTTGAAGACTAATTTATGGAGGTCAAAAACTAGTTTAGTGAGGTTGAAAACTATTTTAAGAAAGCTGAAGTCGTATTAAAACCTATTTGGGATTTTATTTATTTCGTTAGCTTTTTACAGAAACAGTCAAGCCAATTCATACATGTATGAACAATATTGAAATTACGTCTATTTACAGTATTTATTATAATCTCAAGTCTCTAAGAAAGGAAGAAACGTACTTTTCTGGACAGACGATGGCACTAGCAGAAAACGAGAACCTAACTTAGTTTTCTCTAAGGAGATACAGACTGTATTGACTGAATTGACTGTTCAAACTTTGAGTGAAAGGCGACAAATGGAAAAATGGTTATCATTTATAAAACAACCAAGAAATTGAATTTCTCAGAGGTCTGGTACACCACTCTAATATGAAAGATGCTCGCCTAAATCTAATCATGATATATTGTTCATGTGTTACAAAATATTCGTTTTGATTTAGTCAGACTGCTTAGTTCGAGATTTCAGCGTGACGAAATCAATACTCATTGTCAAGGGAACTTAATGGATATGTTCAGTGGTTTCCTTAATTAGTAATTACATTAACGTATCTAAA